AGCATGGAAGGGCCTGAGGGGCACCTGGTCAGAAGCTGGTGGTTCTGCAGTCATTGTGTTCTCAGAGAATCAGGGATCTAGAACCACGAGCAAAGGACCATTCTAGAGTTTGGGCCCCTGCCCCGTTCTCCCTGCTTGGTGGGGGGAGAGAGAAGCCCTTTCCCCCATGGTCCTGGTGAAGACACCGAGGCCAGGGGGTCTGAACCCCCACTAAGCAGCTGGACCGTAGGTAACTCTGTACAGAGAGGTGAGGCTACTGATGATATGTCGTCCCTTCTAAGCCCAGGACCACCTCCCTTCGCCCCTGGGAGCTCCCTGAGGGTTTGAGCTCCTCACTTCTGCCTGTTGTTGGAACTCTGGCTGGGGGTTAGGGCTGGGCAGAAACCAGATGAGCCACTGCACTTCTTCAGACAGAACCTGCCATGGCAGAGGAGGTATGGGTGGGCACCTGGCGGCCCCATCGCCCCAGGGGGCCCATCATGGCCCTCTACAGCAGCCCTGGACCCAAGTACCTGATCCCACCAACCACAGGTAGGAGCCTGTCTGTGGACAGGGAGGGAGCCGATGAGAGAAAGGGGCTTGGAGGAAGCTAGGATCAGCTAGTTGACCAGAGGAGAGAGCCTTGGGAGGGTGCCCAGCCTAGGGAGGATGGGTGAGAGGTGGGGAGGCAGAGTGATAAACACCTGCCAATTCTGGGCTGAGGGCCATACTACCACCACAGGCTTCACGAAACACACACCCACCAAGCTGCGTGCACCGGCCTACAGCTTCCGGGGGGCACCCATGCTCCTGGCCGAGAACTGCTCCCCAGGGCCCCGCTACAGCGTGAACCCCAGGATACTGCGGACCGGCAAGGACCTCGGCCCCGCCTACTCCATTCTGGGGCGCTACCACACCAAAACCACACTGACCCCGGGCCCTGGTGAGCCTGGCAGAAGCCAGCCCAGCCCCGGCCCAGTCTGTCCCAGTAGTCGGGGACAGTGTTGGGCCTGCGGTCTCTTGCCCCTCCAGTTTAGGCCCCCTCTCCTTCCTCAGACCATGGCTCTGCCCACTGCCCACCGTTGTGCTGGGCCTGGAAGCCGGCTTGCCAGTTGGGAGTCCACTCCCCCTGGGCCCCGCCCAGCATCCCTGAGGCCCGGGCTTCCCCCCAGGCGATTACTTCCCTGAGAAATCGACCAAGTACGTGTTCGACTCGGCGCCCAGCCATTCCATCTCGGCGCGGACCAAGACGTTCCGGGTGGACAGCACTCCAGGTGCGTAACCACAGTCCACTGTGGACAGGACTGCTAGTCCTCGGGGCGGGGGGTGGGGTGGTGGTGTTCAGGGAGGGTCCTACAGAGACAAGGTAGGGGTCCAGGAGGGCATGTCTTAGGGAAGGATCAGCGGAGGATTGATGTGGCTGAGGTCCATCTTTTCTCTTAGGCCCCGCAGCATACGCACTACCGGTAGTGATGGGGCCTCACACAGTGGGCAAAATCGCCCAACCGTCCTTCTCCATCAAGGGCCGAAGCAAGCTGGGCAGCTTCAGTGACGATATGCATAAGGCGAGTGTCACACGGGAGGGGTTACGGTCTGCGCCCCCCCCCCCCATACACAGAAACTCTGAGGGGAAGTCAGAGTCTCTAGGGGTCCAGCCTGGCTTGTAAAGACCCTCTGCCCCCTCAGACTCCTCAGTACCCTTGGCCCCCTCTGCCACTCACCTTCCCAATGCCCATGTGCCGGCGCCAAATCGATCCTGAAATCCACAGTAAGTCCCCCTGGCCAGCTGAAGGCTCTGTCCACATGAGAAAGGGGCAGCAGACAGACTATGGAGGCACTGTTGTGGGTGGTGACTGAGGACAGTGCTGCTTGGGGACATGGTGACCATGGGAGAAGGCAGGCCTGAAAAGAGGAGGTAAGGGTTGATGCGATGAGCTGTAGAGGCAACGGTCCCTGAGGAGAGGCATGTCCTAGATAGTGCCCTGGTCCCAGGGTGGCAGACTCTGGGCTCACTGCCCCAGGAAGTGACCCTGAACAGACTGGTAATGCTGGAGGTCCCTGACTCTAGGGACAGTGTTTCTGAGGCCAGAGCCCAGCAGCCAGTCTGGGCTGCCCCTCACTGACCACCCTGTTCTGAACTGCCCTACCCTTCAGACGCCAGGACCTGCAGCTTACCGCCAGACAGACATGCAGCTGACCAAGCTGAAGGCGCCACAGTATACCATGGCCGCCCGCGTGATGCCCCCAGGGGATAAGACCACGAAGCCAGGACCAGGAGCCCACAGCCCAGAGAAGGTATGAGAGGCACACAGTCCAGAGACAGCAAGAGACAGGGTCAGGCCCAGAAGGGACAGAGGAAAAGTGGGCTCACAGCACAGGGGGTGGGGGCAGGGAATGGGCTCACAGACCAGAGTGGGTAGGGATGGATAGAAGATGTAGCCCACAGGGGTCCCAGGAGGCCTAGGTGGCTTGTCCTCCCACCCAAACCCCATAGCACAAGAAGCCTCTGAGCAGGTGAGATGAGGTGCAGGGCAGGGACAAAGGGGACCTCAGGGTCCTATGTGTGTCCAGCTCAAGAACATCTCCCACCCCCAGAAGTAGGTTACCCTCCACCCAACCCAGGCCACAAGGCACAAATTCAGGAGGGTTGGCAAGCCTCCAGACCCAGTGGGCTCTGCTCACACACACACACACACACACACCCCCAGGTGACACTGACGAAGCCCTGCGCACCTGTGGTCACCTTTGGCATCAAGCACTCCGACTACATGACGCCCCTGGTGGTGGACGTGGAGTAGCCGTCCCCAAGCCTCCACCTCATCATGTCCCTCCTACACACTCAGCTGTTGCTATGCTGTTCTGCAGCCACCAGACCTGTGGACCAAGGACATGGACAGTTGGGACCAGTCACTATTTTTTCTATACTCCCTCTCCCATCCAATAATTGTGTTTCCTGTTGTACCCAGATCTTTAATAAATCACTGCTTCCATTGCAATTAAGCTTGTTTGGGGGAAGAGAGGGGATAGGTTTTCCAGAAAGGCCCCTGGGGTCAGAGCACTTGCCCATCATCCTGACCCTTTCTGCTGGACCCTGTCTCCCTGCCAGGGATCCCCAAACCTGCACATTCACCTTTCCCAAGAGCTCTTCTCCAACAGGCTGACTGCTCCCATGGAGGGTGGAGGTCTGCGACCCTCCCCTTGAATCTGAGCTGGAGCCTCTGCCTGGTCCTCACTGTCTGTCAGTCTGCCTGGCTTTATCTGTCTATGCCTGTCCCTCTGTCTCTGTCTCTCTCTGTCTCTCTCACTCTTTGGCTCTTCCTGCCTGTCTCTTTCTCTGTTTTCCTCTCTGTCTGCCTATATCTTCCTCGGTCTCTGCCTGGCCTGGGAGCAGCAGCTATACTGTGAGACTGGGGCACCTAGCTCTCACCAGCACCAACCTTCAGGTGGCTGCAGCCCAACCTTTGTGTGTCTAGTTGAGACTTCAGGCTTCACAGACTACAGAGAACCATGGCACTGTGGCCTGTCTGAAACTCCGACCACAGAATCTCTGGGGCCTAATAAATGATTGCTGCTATGTGTCCCACATCAGGCGATCCGGTGATAGCCCAGGGCATGAAGAAGGTGGCCCTGGCTGGTCTGGGAGGGAGTCTTCACATGAACCAGCACTGAGTGAGGCCAGGCATGTGACCGGTGGAGCCACCCAGGCACCGGTCAGGCCTAGAGTCTGATGTTGACCACCAAGTCTGGACGGAGGGTCTGGGGGGCCAAGGGGTGTACAAGGCCATACCTGTTTCAGGCTGCATGTCCCAGGGACCCATGTAAACCACTCAGTCTTAGAGGTCTGCTGCCTCAGCTTCTGAGTGAGGGATGAGGAGATCAAGAGTCATTCCAACTGCCCTGTGCACCCTGTGAAGAGCAGGGGAGACATGGTTTCGGAGAGGAGTCGGGGAGCAAGGAGAGGGGCCTCTAGCCTCTATCCCAAGGACAAAAGCAAAGCAGACTGTGTGGCCACTTCTGTTTTTTTTCTTTTTCTTTTGTTGTTGTTAAGAATATACACAGCAAAACCTGTACCAATACAGCCATTTCCACATGGAACACGTAAGGGTGTTGAGTCCATCAAGCTGTACAGCCATTCCATCCTCATTTTCTCAGTTGCTCCTCCCCCACTGACTTCAACTCCACTGTGTCTTGAGGTTCCTCCGACCTAATCTCGATAGGCTGTTGTCAGTTTGATCTCATTCAGATCTTAAAAGAGCATAACGCTCAAGGCAGATGTATGTTTCACTAGTTGAGTTAAACTATTGTTTGGCGTTAAGAAGACTTCAGGGATATTTTGGTTTAAGGTTTAAAATTATCTCAAGGCTGTAGTTTTAGGAGTTCATTCACCCTCCATGGCTCCAGTAAGCCTGAAATCCTGTAGTTGTTGCTGTCAGTTTTCACTCATAGGGACCCTATGGACAACAGAATACAATCGTGCATGAAGTCAGCCCTTCGTTACCCCCACAGCTGTGTTGTGCTCTTTGAGCTCACTGTTGTAGCCACCGTGCCAGTCCGTCTGGTGGAAGGATCGTTGGCTCTCATCACCGCCTCCGTCTAGGCCTATATATGTCTAATGGTGATGCTTCCATGTCTCCAACCCTTCCCCCCAAAATTCTGCATTCTTCCTTTTACCACATCAAAATGACAGTTTTGGCATCCTTGAGGGACTAAAATCATGTTCCTTTTAAGTGTTCTTAGAGTTTGGGGAGCAAAAGGAAGTGTGCAGGGGCCAGGATCAGGGCTGCCGGGTAGATGGGGTGAGGTTTCTCAGTGACAGTCTCCTAGGATAGCTCTTTCCGTCCTGGAAGAATGAGTAGGTGTGGCCTTTTTCTCCCCAATGTAGTTTTCTAGTTTCTCAATACTTCCTGATAAGAACCCTGATCACTGTCCTGGGTCCTTTGAAAACAATCTGCCAAGATGATTAGTGTTCAGTGCTATCGAATCGGTTCCAACTCATAGTAACCCTGTATAGTGTTTCCAAGGAGCAGCTGGTGAGTTTGAACCACTGACCTTGAAGTTCAAACCGACTTTGCAGTACTGTGCTTATCAGAGCACCACACCACGACTCCAACAGTATCCCTTTGTGATTACACAAAACAGTAGTCAGGGCAACCTTCTGAGCTGATGTCTCTGTCTAGAATTTTAAAAAGACCCTAACGAGATTAATACAAGTGTTTCACTGAGAGAACTTTTCTGCAGTCCTCCACTGATCCCAGAAATATGCTTACACATGTTTAAATGAGCCCATGGTTACATGAGCTGGAACCCTAATAACAAGACTTTTTGACTTACCCTCACATGTAGAACAAGAAGTAATCACTCAGGACAACAAAGCAGATGGCCGATCGGGTGGCCGTATAGCAGAGAGCTCCGCCACCAACCACAGAATACCC